CACCAATAACTTATTTCTTCTTGACAATCCAATTTTATCCAGGTTTATTTTAATGGTAATAGTAAAACATTTCATATCAGATACAATTACTATTTACAACAGAACCATCACACACACATATTGTATATATATATATATATATATATATATATACACACACACACACACACACACAAGATAGAGAGAGAAAGAGACACACACATTTTTAAGGAGTCTGTATACTTCCCATTGACTCAAATTGATATTATATATGAGAGTATATCAATAAGGCTGTAAACTGACACACATAGATAAATTTTGATCTGAAATCAATACGATTAATATTCACCACCAAATTCTGTATACTGACATCATGGAGACTATAAATTCATTTTTGTCATTAGGTTATATATTTATTGGTGTGTGTGTGTGTGTGTGTGTGTGTGTGTGTGTGTGTGTGTGTATATATATATATATATATATATATATATATATATATATATATATATATATATATATAAATTGTATTTAGGCAGCAATCACTCTTTTATGCTAGTTTCATTAAAAACAACTGACAAGGTACAGCGATTAAGCCTTTTATTTACTTTTTCTAGAATGATGGGAATGATGTTTTTATTTTCCAAACACAGTAGGTGTGTTTATAGTTGATGTTATTCAGTGTTGGCTTTTTTCTTTTTTATTATTAGTGCTTCCATTAGTTTTAGTTTTTTTTCTGTGTAGATGAGGCTGTTATACTTGTATTTTCTACAAGTATGTTGTGGATGGAGTTTGGTAAGTTTCAGTGCGTATTAAAATGAGTCCTAATTGAGCTATGGTCAGAGAGGTGTAACATGAGTTTTCTTTATAGACATGTAAAAAAAAAAAAAAAAAAGACAAAAAAAAAAAACTGAACAGAATAGCCAAAAGTGCATGGATATATAGAACATTTGGACAATTTTTACACCCTATATGTCCAGGAAAGAAAACACTCATACAAACATGAGAAAAATTAAATAAAAAGCTAAAATGTCTTTAATTAAACTTATATATATATATATATATATATGAGGGCCTAATAGTTTTAGAATTGAACAGACAACTCACACATGATTTGATTTATAGTGATGAATGCTAATGTAGAACCAATAGTCACACAATTTTGGGGAAGAATGGATAACAGAGGAATGGTGCATAGTGTGCCACAAAATCTCTAAACAGTCCTTCTAGATAGTATTTTTTCTTTCTTTTAGACTGGTTAAAAAGCCCAGTCTACCCTGCTATTTAACCCATAGCAGGAGGAAGAGTGATTCATGCTCTGTCCAAAGACATTAGTACAAAGTAAACACATCAGAACTGACACACACACACACACATATATATATATATATATATATATACATGTATGTATGCAACACACAAATACATATGTACACATATAGTACAAATATATTTACATTGTTTGAGGTTTCACTATTTGCACATAGCTGGGACCCTAACAGGTGCTACCACCCTGGGTCAGGTGAACCTGGGAGCAACAGCAATTAAGAGGTGGTCCCACACTCCTCAAAATCGCCAATCTCCCAATCAGAGGCCTTGCTGCCAGGTGTAGTTTATCATGATATCTAGGACAGAGTGGTATCAGAAATTTTGAAATCAGTTGTATTGACTGGCTAAAATATTCCTGTTGCTATGTCCTGAAATTCTCACTGTTGCACATGTGGACTTGTTTGCAGGTCACTATTGGTACTTAAGTGTCACATATGACACAAACACAAAACTGAATGAGGTTGTCAGATCCTAATATGTTGAAATCAACAGAAGAGTCCATCATTTTTATATATATATATATATATATATATATAAAATCATTTATCCTCACCAGTAGCACAAAAGAGTTTTCATGCACAATGTAATCTGCATGAAACTCAAAGCCATGCTACCGATGAGGAAAAAAAAAATGTATATTTATTAATATAGAATTTATAGCAACGTTATATTACAATTACATCAAGCAATATTTTATTAACACCAATACTCAATGTGTAATATTTTATACTTAACTCTCCTGTCAAATTCGCCATATGAGAAACTAGGAAACTGACAGCCTGACACCAGCACATGAAATTTGAATATAGTGGTGAAGGTTTTGTGCAGAACCAACCACACTTTTTGAAGGGCTGAATACAGAGACTTGGTGCACTACATGCCATAGGGTCCCCGCAGGTTTTGAATTCAAAGTTGTCCTTCTAGACCAGTTGCCATCCAAGGCTATAGAACCCAGTCTGTCCTGATATTTACCCATAGCTGGAGGGAGAAGAAGAGGATTCATACCTTTCCCAAGGGTATTAGCAGGTAAGTGAATGTGATGGATTCGACTGAATTTGAACTCGGCTCTCCGATTCCTCAATCTGAGCTGCTATCCATTACTCCACCATGCCTCCGTAATATTTTTTATATATATATATATATATATATATATATATTTTATATATTATATATAAATAAACAATTAATGGATGTGCGGGTGGTGCAACAGATAGCAGCTTGGAGCAAGAAATTGGAGAGCTGAGCATGCATTCCAGCTGAGTTTCATTACATTCACTTTTGTGCAAATAGCTTTAGGAAAGGCATGATTCCCCCTAACTGTGGCTTAAATAGTAACATAGTTTGGGCTATTCAGCCTTGACTGGCAACCAGTCTAGAAGGAAAAATCTGAGTTCAAAATCATATTTAGCCCTGACAAAGCAACTACTACTATGCAGCTAATGAAAGTATTGTAAAGATTACAATGATTTTGTGATCCCAACTGTAGTCAGCCATGAATATTTTTTTACTACAAACATTACTTTTGTTATGTTCACTGTTAAAAAATACAGTTATGTCTACTCAAACCTAATGTAAGTTTCTGATATTTTATTTCTGTTGCACATAATTCTCTATATAATTGAGTAAAAATAAATCTTACAGATTATTTTTAAAAGATCATCATTTGCTATGATATATATCTTAAATCGGAATATACACCCACATGTAGGAAAGACAGGGCAATTCCACCATAAACTAATTTTACTGAAATACCTGTCTCAAAATTTAAAATCTTAGCAGGTAACAGAAACACGATGCTACTTATTTCTTGGCCAATTTCCAATTCATGTTTAAATTTAAAATAAGTTAAACAATAATTTTCAAAAATACCCATCTTGGTATTTATATCTGAACTAAAAAACCTTGTCCTTAAGCTAACCATTTGCATGAAGAATACATTTACATTTTAATTAGAGAATATTTATGATTTTTATGTACTTAGGGATTAAAATCTGTTTTGTTTTGTTATTTCTTTCCAATATTTTAGTGATCTTGAAAACAAATCGTTTGCGAATTAGGGTGAGGATTTATTAAATTTTATTTTTGCAATTAAATGCTTCAAGGAGAATTAGACCCGGCATCAGATGCCTGAAGAAAGATCTTGAACATTTATCAATTCAATAATGTTAAAATTTTATGACATTTTTCAATTTTGTCATAAACTACGAAAAGTTAGTCATGTCAACAATTAACTTAAAAATCATTTAAACTAAACTTAAATGATATTGTGCAGGAATTTGTTGAAGTAATCAAAAATCATACGGTGACAATTTATTAATAAATCATATGTGACTGCACTGTCAGATGATAGTGACTAGAGAGCCTCTCCATTCCACTTTTGTTTTAAAATTTTAAATGGTAAAAAAACTTATTAAAATACGTTCATAGACGAACCATAAATAATAATACAGTAACTTTTACCTGCAGAATCTATTGTACAACAAGCAATTGATTGCATTAATGAACACCTAAAGTGTAGCAAACTGCAATACAGAACTGCCTTCTTAAAGGTACTAAGTACAACTACACACAGCGATAAGTGTCGCGTAATTACCAAAGGAGTTTTTTAAAAGTCAATAAGCAAAAAGTGGTCCTAACGATTGAATTTTAGATATGAAATTTATACTTTTTAGTGGTGTAGTATGTTGTTGTTGTTGTTGTTGCTAGTTTTCTAAACTTGTAGACAGATCTCTAGAGTTAACGACATGATCTTCTTAATTCGTAAGTGTTAAGAGATTGAAAGTAGAAACATACCAACAACCACATTGAAAAGGTTAATGTGACCCAGACATCAGTTGGATTGCGATTTTCTTATTCAATGATACAATGTCAAGAGGTTAAAAATAAAAATCTCATAAAAAGGTACCTTCAAAGTTGTATTCAATTTAAGGGCAGGTAAAAATTTAAATAAATAAAACTTTTTTTTAATATTAAAAAAAAAGGTACCTGGAGCTGACGAGAAAACAGTATTTTTATTTTAATGAATTCTCTCGTAAAAACACTTGGTTCGTGATTTTTATTTTACGTCTTTGATTTTGAAATCAAAAAGACTGTACGGCGAGTTAAAAGCCAACAATTTTAAAGTATATTTTTAAAATAAAATTTAAAACATATTTTTAAGGAAGGTGAAAAAAAACTTAGTTTTATTAAGAAATGGTTGTCTGTGTCAACTCAAAAACTGTTTTATTTATGTTTTATTTTCTATAATTTCTAGAACAATTTATTATTTTTAACAAATCGATTTGGAGTCAGTAAAAAATTTCAGCTAAATAAAAAATATACTTCTCTCTTGAAGTCATTTTATTATTTTTTTAATTTTTTTTTTTTTTTTTTTGCTGAAGCAATCGTTTATAACTTGACATCGTACGTAAATATTATTTTTTAACTTTTTTTGATAATACAAATAACACTCAACAAGTCAACATAACCTATGTGTATCATTGTTGTTTTATCGCATTTTTAAGCTTATCAAGAACAAAATAATTTCTTTTTACACCTGAACAAAATGAAAAAAAACTTAATGCCTTTTCTCCGCCTCGACCATAAAAGACTATTTATTAGGATTTTGTTATATTTGCAAATTCGGTTTGCAATAGCTTCAGTGCCTTTAAACTGACCATAGACTTAAAATAAAAGTAGAAGTAATAGGAACTTACTAGACTTAATATCTTTAGTGTTCTTTCAGCTTCATGTAAAACAGACTAATGACCGCTGCAATGATCGCATGACAGATATCAATACATAAAGACATTTTGGAGAGTAAGAGGTCGACGTAAAGGGACATAACTCTTAAGAAATTAAGACGAACCCAAAGAGGCTGAAGTTTTTAAGACTCTTTTTTAGAGAGCATTAAAATGGGATTTTTTTTTTATGTTTGTTTACCGGGTGATTATTACAAAATAACCAAGTGCATAATGGATAACTTCCAGTGTTAAAAAAAAAAAACAGTTCTTTAATAAACATGACATTAGTGGAACGAATTGGTACAACGAGTACTTAATATCAAACTCACTACTAACGATTTTTGCATGAACAGTTTGTTAAATAAAAATAATAAACACTGAAGTACAAAACCTAAACATTTGTAAGTGTTACATATGCTAAAGTCGTCAATACTCTAAATAATTTAGGAAATAGAAAAAGATATCTAACATAAAAAGTTTAAATGGGAGAAATTAGGATTGATTCATTACTATCCAAAATATCAAGTAGAGAGAATTTCACTGTCAATTCATTATTTTAATTTTCTAAAATAGCATATTTACTCAGTACTAATCACTCAGAAGATAACATTCCTTCAATTCTTTAAAATAGAGTTTTTAGAATAAAATAACTACAGAAAAAAAAGAATTGATCGATCATGTAATATAAACTAATTAATTAATTTCTCTTTTGAAACATTGACCTGATAGCTAATGTTTCTCTTTATTTAGAAGAGGATAAAAAATAAATAATTTTCTTTATTTATTTATTTACATTAAAATCATTTCATTTCCTCTCCCATCATTACAATACTGAATAAAATCATGCTGTTATTCAACTAAACTAAACCAGCTAACAAATATCTCTTACCATCCTCAATCTTTTTTTCTCCAATATTCTGCAGCATAGAATCATTCTTCTTTCTTAGTTTCAAGGTATCTTCCCCTTTGCCAAAAAGATTCCAGCATTCATATGAATGTATGGCCTTGGTGTTTACATCTAGGATAATCTGATGATGACCAGAGAATTGTATCTCAAGGCCACTGACTACTTTTCCATCTTTTGCTACTAAATTCTGTTAGCTATCTCTTTTTCCTTTATTGCGCCCTCTCTTCCCAAGACTGAAGTATATTAGATGCAATAGCTGACAGTATAGAAAATGAACATTCTCTCCATCCATCTGCGAACATCTTTGTCTTCAGTGACTTTAATGTTCAGCATGACACGTTGTTGAAACATTCTAAAGGTACTGATGTAGCTGGTATACAAACATTAAATCTTTCCCTTGCCCAATCCTTCGCTCAAATCATAAACTCATTTTCTTAGCCAAACCAAGTAACAGGCTTCTCTACTGGATCTATTTCTTACCTCTTCTCCTCACTCTTGCTGAGCAAGCAATATTGCCTTCTTGGTAACTTGGACCACTCTGTGATAGCTATTGATATCTCCTTCCAAGCATGCAGTAAACAGGAACAGCCTATCCATAAGACTTCAGTGTGTGTGTGTGTGTGTGGAGGAGGGGGCGTTGACAAAAGTTTGTGCCAAAAGGTCTGAAAAAAGGCTGAGAAACGCTGAGGTAAATAAATACACTTTGATAATTATTATATGGTTTGATTGACAAAAAAATGCATGCTCAAGAGAGATAACTCCGGTTCCATTAGTTGTTAATTACAGTCAGATCTCTTGAGTTTCCTTCATTAAAAGAATGACAGGAATAAGTAAGGAAGAATCCTTGACCTGTTTACACACTTCTGTCAGCCACAGTGGCATACTAATAATGATACATTGGCAAAGTATCATAATGATGGTTTTTCTCTTGATAATGCTATTAGTGTATACAACTTTGACAAATCTTGTTTTAACCCTTAAAATGCTCTATACAGTGTTGTGATTTCAACAGGTGGTGAGACTGTATTAGCCTCTCTAAAGCACAGGCTTAAAAGATGGTAAATGTATGCAGTGTGCTCCCCAGACCACATGACCACCACCCGACACCCACCCGACACCCGCCCAACACCCACTCTTTCACCTGTACCAACAATTTCTAAAGGGATACAGGGCATTACTTTTCAGCTCTGCTTGGCTGCCATAAAAAAAGCTGTTTTAGAATTTTAATAAACCCAAATATATGAAATATTTTCTTTTTTCTCAAGTATTAACAAAAGTATTAGACACTATTTATTTATTTACAAGTTTATGAAAAATGTGAAAAGTACAATGCAATATTTGTTATTTACCATATTATCAGTAGCATGCTGACAGGGGTAGGTCAGAGGGTGCAATGGCCCTGAGCATCCATATCGGGAGGGCATTCAATCAATGGGTGAAATAAAAATTTAGTTTATATTTAATTTGAATAAAGTGTTTATTTCATATTTCATCTGTTTTTACATATTTAAAATGTCTTCCTTTCTCTCATTTCTCAGTACTAGACCCTATACACCTCTCTACTTGAGTCTTGGGACATACACTCAAGAAGTTGAACTTGGGCATCACCAAACATTTCTAAACCTCTGCACGTCATTGTATATTATGAAGAAATAACTATGAAAACAATTTTTTTTATTTATAAAAGTATTTGTGAACTATAGAACAAGAAAATTTGATTTAATACATAATGATGAGGAAATATAATTATAAATTTTGAGAAAAATAAATCCATGTATTTTCTAGGCATTTTTTTCAGTTGCTCACATAAATTCCCTAAAATAGGGGTACTTGGACATAGTGTTGTCGGATAACTCACATCATACCAGCAGGAAATTGTTTTTGCAATTATCATTGGTACATCAGCAGTTGATCTGGAACAACGAAAGCCATATTGCTTATCTGGGGAAAAGCCCTGTGATGAGAGATGATGCTATCCTCCAGGAAAGTGACATGCTGCACTTTCTTGGGCTCACGTTCTCTGCTGATATGAAATGGAAAGACTACATTGAATCCATTGCTAGGACAGCTGCTAAGAAAGTTGGTTCACTATGTCATGTTAGACAATTTTTCAATCCAGAATCTATCTTACATATCTATAAGTCTACCATTCATCCTTGCTTAGTATATTGTTGCCACATATCATCCAGTGATCCTGCTATTTACCTTAAGCTCCTTGATAACATCCAAAGAAGAATCAGCAATATTATCGGTCTTGATCTGGCAGCTCAGTTCCAGTCACTTTCCCACCACCATAAGTTTGCCTCACTATGTCTTTTCTACAAATACTTTGATGGTAATAGTGCAAATGAGCTATGGTACCTAGAGTTTTTGAATTTAAGTGCTGCACTAGACTGGCATCAAGATCTCATCAAGTTACAGTTGAACTGGCTAGATGTAGCCATAAGGTCTATGCTAACAATTTCTTTTCTCACACTTCTCGCTTGTGGAACTGCCTTCTGGTTGCATGCTTTCCCACCAACTTTAACCTGCAAAAATTTAAATGCAATGTCAATCACTGTCCACTTGATTACTCTCTTCTCTCCCTGCTCATTATTAATGTTTCTGTTCCTAATTCTTCCACATCCAGTAATCCCTTGTGTTTTAGTGGCATCACTGCCTTGCTTGGAATGATTTCGATAAAAAAAAAGGAATAGCGTTGTCTTCACAAGAATAAAAACATACAGAGAAATAATGCTAAAAGCTTGTTAAATTGTAAATTAAAATCATACCATTTTAATTTATTTTTGTGTGTGTGTATTTTAGTTACAGGTGTTTTACAGTTGCATGTGAGAAAAAGAAGAAGTCACTTTGTATTATAACTGAGGACAGGAGCTGGATATCTTGACCTTCCAGTGGTTGGTATTGAAAGAGACTGAGTTTAGAACTTTGGGCTTGAAGTCTATTCCCAGGTAGGAAAAGTTTCTGTTGCATTCTGGGACAACGTTTTTTTTTTTGGTTTTATTTAATTTATTTTAAACAAAGTTTTAATGTTATTTGTTTATTTTATTTATGATATTTATTATTATAATTATTATTTTATATTTTTATTTATTAATAATAATAATGTTCCTACAGTGTAATGGTTAGCAAACTTGTCTCACTAGATCAATTATGACTGAGTAGTGAGTTTGATTCTTCTTCTTTCAGTCTTGGGGCACATCTAAACTTAGCAAATCACCATAAATTCACTAAAATAGGTTGAGGGCATTTGGATTTATATATACATTTTGTTTCAACATTAATAATTACAGTTACTCATCATCAGTGATGTACAGAGGTCTGGTGATACTTGGGGCCAACTCTTTGATTGTATGCCCCTAAGAATCAAGAAGGAGTGGCCTATAGGGCCTTGTACTGAGAAATGTAAGAAAGGAAGACATTTTAAATATGTAAAAATAGATGAAAGTTTATTTAAATAATAAAAAAAAATTTATTTCATTCTTTAATTGGATGCTCTCCTGATATGGATACCTGGTGGCTGTTGCACCCTCAGTCCCCACTTCTGCACACTACTGCTCATCATTATGTGTTAATTTAAATTTTCTTGTTTAATAGTTCACAGAGAATATGATAAATAATAAATATTACCTTGTAATTGATTCACATACTTTTATAATCATGTAAATCTCAAATGATTCTTGTAAATAAACAATCTAATAAAAATAATGCCATGTTATGAATAATCAAGACTAAAAATAAATAATAATAAAGTATCCCTTGTTTTGTTACTCTTCTCTTTGAGAGAGCTATTTTTGTTTACTGGGACTATGCAAGAACACTATACACAAACCCTGTATTCTCAGTTAAATAAAGCTTTCTTAAAGCCTACACCTGTGTACTTTTGTCATTACAATGCTTAACATTTTTGTTATTAATTCTAGAGAAAACATGTAAAAATCCAGTTTCATATGTTTGGGTTTTATTAAAATAAATGAAATCAAAATAGACATCTGTGTAGTGAGGGCTAATTTCCATTTTTGTCTGGCAACAACCCCTGGGTAACAGGAACAGAGCATAAGTCAAAATCTGTGGCCTTTTGAAGTCCTTTTTATAACCCCTTCTCTATTTAAGCTGAATATATTTTCTAATAACTTTAGTATTTTAAATTGACAAGCAATTTAGATTTGAACTTTATGTAACAAACTAGTATTA